AGCATCCGCAGGAACCATACAAGCCAAAAATATACTGGGCATTGGTCCAGTAACTATATTATTTATCTGCACATTTCTCAAGCCGGCGGGCACCGTCTCAGTCCTCACCTCAACATGTTGAAATGGTATAATTGCGTTACGGTTTTGGAAAACGCGAGCATGTGCCGTCAACACCGCCGGATTTAAGTGGCATACTTCAAGTGTAAGTTGGGCACTCTTTAAGTTCATTACCGCATCATTGGTCGTCTTACACAAAAGCATAAATTCATCAGTATGCAAATTTATCTCAACCTCCACATCAAGGTTGTCGGGGAAATAAAGTTCGCATCCTGCTAAATCTGTGTGAAGTTTTCCAATGGTGCATACCGTATTCCCACCCTTGAACAGCTCCACACGCTTTGCAAATCCGGTATTTGTCGTTTTGTCAGCTGTAACAGCATTTTCCGAATCCAGGTAGAAGCCAGAGCATGCAAGGCGTCCCTGGGCCTCGAGCACATTGCCCGACATGAGCGCTTCAATATAAGCCCGATACGCATAGTTCTGCGTATTTCGCTTGACGTAGGTATTATTCAATTTAATGTTTAGAGATTCAATACAAGTCTGATTGATGTAATTAATGACCCCCGGCTCGGTGGCCTCGTCAACGGCTTTGCCATCGGGCTTTGTCACAGACCAGTCCGCATCGAAAGACACAATTTTAAAGAAGCGGTAGAAATCAGAGCCCTTGCCAATACTTCGGAATAGAATGCGTTTTGATCGCTGATCAATAGAGTTGTGAGGCTGCAATACAATCTTTGTCTGGCCAACCTGAGTAATTTGCGCTTTTTGAGCATTAAAAATGTCAAGGCGGGATTGAGCCACCGGCTCAAATTGCGAGGACGTCGCCATGTTGAAATGGTATAGACTAAGTGCCCGTCTCGCCCTTATATACTCTCAAAAATGTCTCCCTTGGTGCGCGTGGCCTTGCGCTTGCGCCCACCCCGCTTCTTATGCGTCAATCTCTTCCCCTTTCGCCGCTTCCTTCCACCGCCCCGCATTTTTTTAACTATGTCATCGCGGCCCTCGGTCAAACGCTGCTTGGCTATCTCACCCAAATTTTTACCAGAGGAGCTGCTTGCATCTGTTAAAATTTTAGCCCCCGTATTAAGCGCTTGCTGGCCAAGGGCGCGCGCTCCACTGGAAAATATGGGTGATGCCCAATTCCAAACCCCCTTAAGTGCATTTGTGAGAATTCCACTACCCCTCTGACCCCTCGAAAAACCACCCCGATACACCGGTCCAACAGCAGCCTCCTCCACCCCAACCCCACGCCCCGCCTGTCGCAAGTAATACCGCGTCAGCTCATCGGCCATTCTGAAGTGTAGTGGTCCGCCCGTAAGTTGAACTTATATAGAATCTCTGCGGAAATGGAGCACGGCAACCACCGGCTCGGTACTAGAGGCCAGAGGATACCTACTTCCCTCCCTAGAAGTGGCCAAGATGGAGATGGTAGTTATCTTACCCCCCACGACTGGCATGTAAAACCGATCTGGAAAGGTTTGATGGGATTTGGCAGGCGAGACAATCCGTAGTAATCGGCTATACGAGTCTCCAACATGGGAATTGCCAGCACAGTCCGAGTAAATAAATATTGGTCCAGTAACTGCTTTAGCCACGGCAACTTTATTGTCTGTAGCGGGCGGAAAAATTATTTCTGCGAGTGCAACACTCCAACTATACTGGGGGTCCAAGTCAATGATGTCAGCAAGTCGCGTTGTAAAGCTAGCCTTTGTGTTTCCGGGATAGAACCTCTCACAAGCATCCGAGCTGAGATAAATGTAAAAGCCAGACATTTTAAAGCCGAGTCACGTTTTTTGCATCCACCCACTCGTTGAAGGTTGGAGGATAGCCCCTAAAACTAACAAAATACTCCTTCCTTCGCGTTCGCCTATTTGTTCGAGTTTTTAAAATTTTATCAATTCTGTACTCCTCCGTCTCGGGGTTGTACTGCACAGGCGTCAGTTCGTCTGCCACCCACCCCCCTAAAATTGGCTCTCCCGCTAAATCTTTCAAGTGAAATAGTGGTTGTGCCAGGTAGCCAGTCTGATGTTTAGTCTGTATGCGGTACACTTTAAAAATTTCGTCTGAAAACCCCTGCTTAAAACCCCTGTCTTGGAGCACGCCTTTCCGCCTCGTCAAAACTCGTACAAAGTCACCAACAGCAAACTTTGGCCGCTGTGGGGGTCCCGTCACATGTCTTTTATAGTGCTTACTCCAGATCTGAAATGCATGCCTGTCATCAACTTCCTCAGGTCTCAGGCCCGTGCGAGAGTGCCGACTGCCATTGTACGCCGCCACCACATCCTGAAGAATATCAATGTAACGAAAACTACCCCTATGATAAAATATTTTCCACAGCTTATTTTTTATGGTTTTTATTGTGACTTCGACCAACCCCGCTTTAGCCCAGTTTCCCGCCAACTGCCACTTTATCCCAATTTTGCGCAAGTATTCAATCAAGAGTTTATTATTGAACTCCCGTCCCGCGTCGCTCCGAATGAACCGCGCCCGGCGACCCCCCGCACGCGCTATAATATTCTTGAAAACGCGCACCGCTTCCTCGGCCGTCTTTGACTTCATCGGCTCGACCCACAAATATTTTGAAAACTGGTCGACGCAGAATAATAAATATTTATATCCATCATTGACATCTGCAAATGAATCTAAAATTGCCAAGTCTACCTCCCAACAGTGGTCGGTTTCTACAGAGAGATTAAAATTCACGGGGAAATTACGACGTCTCTTATGAAAAGTCGTGTACACGGCCTGCGAGCGAAGCCACGGCAGCACAGCACCCCTCTTGGACGCTGGCAATTTTTCAGCAAGCTTTTTGATGGAAGCGAATCCAGCCGGACTCGCGGGGTCGTAGTAAAACTCTTTGAGCCGCCCACCTATATCCTCCTCATCCGCGGATTCTTGGCCCTCGCCGAATCTAGCGTCGACCATTGCGCGGGCGGGCCCATGGACCGAATGCGTCGCGGACTAGTGGGAGAATTACTTCGCGTGCGCTTCCGCTTAAATAGGGTAGTTTTCTTTACACCAGGCGTGGATGAGAGACTGCGCCTCGGCCCAGGCGCATTCGGTATGAGAGAGCGCCTTCGATTCGGACCCGCCGCCCGCGCCTCCTTTTTGGGCGTTGGCGAAGCAGCCGAAGGCTCGACTATAACCGGAATCATAGATTTCTTACGCGGTGCGACCCTTGCAATGTTAGTCGGTTTGGGGGCTGGCAAAGTGGGCTTATGTACTTCTGGAGGGTTCGAAACCTCCCGAAACCTTTTAGGGGGTGGAGATGGAGGGGGTGGGGGCACCACAGCCGGGCCGCCCGCACTGGCCTTTACACGCTCCAAGGTGTGAGTAAGGTCTCGCAAAAGTTTGGAATACTGACGATACTTTGTGTGCGGATCGTTTGCAATCACGTCGGCTAGGGTGTTGGAACGCCTCTTTTTTCCGCGCTTGCCACCTGCTAGGTGGCGCTGCATTGACTTTTCTAAACGATTTATTTTGGGACCAATAAATGGGTCCTGGGCATCGAT